TCAGCATGGCTGGCTCAGGAATTCTGGGAGTTGAAGTCCACAAGTCATCAAAGGGCCAATGTTGCCTACCTCTGGCCTAGGCCTAGGCCGCTTTATGACTCGTGGACTTCAACTCCCAGAATTCCTGAGCCAGCATGGGGAACTGCGGCCTCTATGACTCGTGGACTTCAACTCCCAGAATTCCTGAGCCAACCAAGCTGAGGGGAAAGGGAGAGGTTTCCATATTGAGCCATGCTGGCTCAGGAATTCTGGGAGTTGAAGTCCACGAGTCATAAAAGAGCCAAGGTTGCCTACCCCTGATCTAGACAAAGTAGGACCTCCCAAAGAAAGAGGTGTCTGAAATGTAACTTAAAGTTCGGAAGAAAGGCGATTCTTGGTCTTCACTTTTTTGTGCGGTTTCGTTTGCAGGATGCAAACGGTGGAGCTGAATATCAAAACCGTTTGTAAGGATGGCCGTTCGGAGCAAAAAGCAGAACTGCCCATGGCTTTGTGGCTGAAGAGCCACCAAAACACACTGTGGAAAATGGGCCACGGGTTCTCATTTGTGCAACTCTTGGTAAGAATTGACGCCGGAGGGGGGGGGGAAATCTCTCTCTTTTTTTTGATGCATTCAGCGGCTTCTTGGAAATTTATGGGTGAAACGAAGGGGTACAAATTCCCAAGGGGACAGATTTTCAAAATTAGCCAAAATCATTTTTACTGGGGCGCTGAGCGCAACGCCAAAAGACCCACACAAACCCTGTTTGTTAACGAGAAGCAGCCCGCCTCTCTGAAAGTGACCCACAAAAAAAAGGGGGTGATTACATTTTGAAAGGAAGAACTCACGCCGGGAAATGTTGCATGGGTCAAAGTGGGCTCCCTGGGAAATGTAGATCTAAAGAAGTTTGTGGAATTCTCCTTCTCCTTTTCGTCTTGGTTTCTGTAGAAGGAAAAGTTTCCTGGAAAAAAAAAAAAGGGGGGGGTATGTTAGCAATACAGGGAGGGGAAGTGGTTTAAAAATGGGTGTGGACTAGTCACTTTTTTTTTCTAAGACAGTAATTCTAAATAATTTCAAAGACTAATTCTAAGATTGTTGCAGAAAAGTGTTTTAAACCTTTTTCTTCTCCTCCTCCTTCTTCTCCCCCTCTTTCTCTTCTTCCTTTTGTCTCCTTCTCCATCTCCTCTTCCTTCTCTGCCTTTTCTCCTTCTCCTCTTCCTTCTCTTTTCCTCCATCTTCTCTTTCTCCTCATCTTCCTCCTGTCTTCTTTCTCTTCCATCTTCTCCTTCTTCTCTTCCTCCTCTGCCTTCTCTTCTTCATCGTCTTCTCCTTCTCTTCATCCTCCACACTTTCTCCTCCTCCTTTCTCCTTCTTCCTCCCCATCTCTTCCATCTCCTTCCACCACCTTTTCTCCTCCATCTTTTCCTTCTCTTCTCTGCCTCCTCTGCCTTCTCTTCTCCATCTTCTCTTCCTTCTCCTTTCTTCTTCTCCACCTCTTCTTCCTCATCTCCTCCACCTCCTTCTCTTTCTCCGTGTCTTCCTCCTCCTCCTGTCTTCATCTTTCTCCATCTGTTCCTCCTCCTTCTTCTCTGCCTTCTCCTTCTGTGTCTCTTCTTCTTCTTCTTCTTCTTCTTCTTCTTCTTCTTCTTCTTCTTCTTCTTCTTCTTCTTCTTCTTCTTCTTCTTCTTCTTCTCCTTCTCTCTCTCTCTCTCAGGCATCTGGTAAATATTCATTCGCTACCTTCTCTGGGGTGCACAACGGTACGACGCTTCCCGACAACAAGGAGGAACTGATACAAAAGGCCCGCAACAATTCCTTCATGACTTCTTACACCGAAATCCCCTCAGCCAAAAGCATCAGCCTGGAATATAAGAGAATTTGCGGTGAGTCAGTATAATACAATCTGGGTTGGAGGCAGCCGACTGGATCAGAGCAAGGAGAAGACAATATTCGCAGGATCTTGAGGGATCCATATTCCACGGCCTAGCAGTTAGAAGGCTTTGTTGAGTTGGGTTGAGTTTCCAATGGTTCTTGGGAAACTTAAAGAGTTTAGAAACAACTTGACGGGGCTCTGGAAGAAAAAAAGAGCCAAGAAACCAAATTCGGAAGATAAGTTATCTCAAAACAGTTTTCTATTACTTGAGCTTCACCTCTTGATCGGAAGCTCTGGAGATCTTGTTCTGCACCAGTAATAGATCCCACAGTCTGAAAAATAATTGGAAATGCTGGCCTAGGCTTTCTAGATCCAAGGTCCCTTGCTCAGTGTAGGATTTGTGGAGATATGGAGCACCATCTATGTTGACTTGAGCCCTTGGGGAGAAACAAAACAAGCCATGATTGTCAAGCTCAAAGTCCACTTTTTTTTAATGTCTCTTTGGGATCCTGTTTTACAGGCTCAGCCGTAGTCACAACCACCCCAGCCCCCCAGACAGCAGAAAACCTGACCGTCAAGGTCCACCAGCTCATCAACCTTTGCAAGCCCTGGAAGTGCTTGGATAGCAGCATCGAAATTGCTCTCCTCAAGATGTATCTGACGGTAAGGAAGTCCACCTGGGATCCCGGGCAGTCCTGCCTCAGTTTCCCTGTCCGTCTCCCTTCCTGGAGCCCTTCCGGTAAGATCAGCCACTTGGACTCTTCCAGAGAGGTTGGACTACATATCCCAGAAGCCCCAGGCAGGCTGCCATGGATAGGAAATATCGGGGTTGGATCAATCGTCCCAGCCGAGTCAACTGTAGCTTAGAACATACTGATAGATTAAATGATTTCCACATAATTAGTATTACTGAAATTCTAATTCTAATAATAATAATGATGTTGGGAGGGATCTTGGAGGTCATCTAGTCCAACCCCCTGCTTAGCACAACCCCCTGCTTCTTTTCTCAGCCAACCTGTGGAAGAGTTCTGTTAAATCCAGAAGCTTACCCGTTCTCTCCTTGGGTTATCCCTGTTAAAACATCTCTCAGCTAACCCTGGTTCATCCTTCTCCTTGCAACCCCAGGTGTTACCTACCCGGGTCGATGCCATCACCTTGAAAGATCCCAGCTGCAGGGCCAGAGACAACACGACCCATTTTGTCCTCAACAGCATCCTGGACAAATGTTCTACCCAACTTGAAGGGGGTGTCCATGTGAAAAACCAGGTATGGTATTTTTTTTCATACAAGGTGTTGCCCCCCAAATCCTGGCCTGGTGCCCACCAATCATAGCTTGCAACCCCCCAAATTCTGCCCTGAAACCCCCCATATCCTGGCCTGGTGCTCCCAAATCCTGGCCTGGTGTCCCCCAAATCCTGGCGTGGTGCCACCCAAATCATAGTCTGGAACCCCCCATATCCTGGCCTGAAGCCCCCCAAATCCTGGCCTGGTTCCCCCCAAATCCTGGCCTGGTGTCCCCAAAATCATAGCCTGGAACCCCCCATATCCTGGCCTGAAGACCTC